ACCACCCATCATCATCATCGTCATTGCCATCATCATTGTCATCATGGATAGCGTTTTTGATATCGAGGTGTTTTGGATCCCTTCTTGATTCCTTGGAGGACATGGGCAGGCGTCCGTGCCCGCCCAAGGAGGCGACATCCAGGGCTAAGGCCAAGGCCCCCCCGAAGGCCAATGCACTGCCGGGGCCGCCGCAGCCGGCGGGCCTGATGGACGATGGCGACGCCGCCATCAATACCAAGTACCTGTCTGTGATCGACGAGCACGTCCAGCGGATCCTCAGCCACCACTTGTTCGAAGGTATTCGGGCGTTCGACCCGCTGCAGATGGGCGTCAACACTGACCGCCGCAATGCCGTCGGGATGCGCAAGCCCATTGAGATTGGTGACGTGGTCAGTGCCATGACTCGGGGCTCAGGCTCTGGAGCGGTCTCTGGCGGAGGCAACATCTTCTGGGTAATGTTCAATTTCCTAGCCAACCCTGGGGCCCCGATCAGCCTCGAGAAAGTGACCGAGCTGAGCGAGCAACACTACGCTCTTGGCGAGCGCCCGGGGCCTCCGCGCCTGCCCATTCTCGCGTTCCTCTCTGCCAGCATCTCGGAGGAGACCCCCAAGGCCACGCTGGCTGCCGGGGAGCTGAAGCTGACCACGCCGCCGGAGTCCATCCACGCGTGGGCGATCAGCCTGGGGAACGCGATTGCCATGAATCGGCCAGAGAAGGATGCGGGATACCCCATCTGCACCATCCAGTGCGCTCGTCACCGCCCCTCTCTCCCACGACAGGGTGGGCGGAGAGGGGCGGCGAAAGAGACATTGGGTGGTGCTGATGGGGTATCCCACAGGAGTTGAAGCAGCGGTTGAAATACGCGCCCTCCGCGGAATTTACTTTCGCCAAGCTGGAGTCCATGGGCGATGTCCATTTCTCCGCCGTGCGCTTGCGTGAGAACTTGAGTGTCCACAAGCGGCCCATGGGCCGCGCCGCCCTCGGTCGCATCCTCGAGGTGTCGAGCTTCAAGGCTCGGAAGGAGAAGCTCTCGGGGTCGATGAGTTCCAAGGCAATCGAGATAGAGTACAAACAGCATTGCAACATCAAAGATCCCGAGGCGCAGGTCACGGCCAACTTTGTGGACAACGCCCTCACCATCGTCAAGCGCGTGCTCTCGATCAGCGGAGTCGTGAACATTCCGTCGGAGGCCGAGGGCACCTGCGAGGCAACGGCCTTCGACAGCGCGAGCAAGCTGCGCGCCATCACGTCGAGGGCGAAAACGCCAGCAATGATCATTTGGACAGTTCGGAGCTTGTGGGGCGAGCATAAATCCAATACCCCTTTGAACAGAGTGGTTCCTGGAGTGCGCGACCTACTGGGCAATACCACTGCTAAGGCAGAGCCCAACGAGCGCGTCGGCAAGGTTGAGGTGTGCTGCTTCAATCACACGGTGAAGACCTACCTCACTTCCACTTGGTTTGACAACTCGGACTTGCCATCTCACGTCAAGGAATCCTTTCGCACGTCCCTCTCTGATCACGCCACGTACCGCGCCAGCAACGGGCTCCCCGATGAGGAGGCGGACTTATCTTGGAAAGCGTCCTTTTCAACTGCTGCTGATTCTTTCTATGGCATCTTCGAGGCGCTCATCTACAGCGACGCCTACGATGAGGGGGTGATCAAGCCTGCGATTCGGGCCAAGAAGGCCGTGGCGGCTATGTTGACCTCGCCAGGCCTCAAGGAGCTCATGAACGAGGCGGCGGAGGATCTCCAGAATGTGGCCAGGGGTGATGGCTGCGGGGACGGCGACGAGGACGGCGGCGATCTCCTAGACATGGGCGAGGCGGATGAGGTCCAACTTTCCATAGCAATGAGCCCGGGTGCGACGGCGAGCGAGGGCTCCATTCAGACCCCTGTCAAAAGGCAGTCCATCAATCACCGCCTTCTGTTGAACCCTCACATGGTGCTGGAGACCTTGGAGCTGCTGAAGCCTTGCGACTCCGAGACGCTGGACAGCGTCGAGAAGGCGGCGTCCACCTTGATGCACACGCACTTGGCTTTCGTTGAGGATAGCAGACTGACGTCCAATACCATCCTTGCAGAAACGTCTCAGGTTCCCTACCTAGGCTCTGCCTTGAGGGTTCTTACTTTCTTGGCTGAAAGGGGCCGGGCAGTGTTCCCCACCCCGCGCGGTTCCCCCAGCCCCCGCCCCGCGGTTCCCCCAGTGGCGCCCCCTTAGCTTAGCTTAGCTTATCTCATCTTAGCTTAGCTTAGCTTAGCTTTGCTTAGCTCAGTTAAGCTCAGCTTAGCTTAGCTTAGCTTAGCCTAACCTAGCTTAGCTTGGCTTCGCTTAGCTTAGCTTAGCTTAGCTTAGCTTAGCAAAGCATAGCTTAGCTTAGCTTAACTTAGCTTAGCTTAGCTTAGCTTAGACTAGCTGAGCCTACATCAGCTTAGCTTAGCTTAGCTTCGCTTATCCTAGTTTAGCTTAGCTTAACTTAGCTCATCTCAGCTTAGCGTAGCTTAGTTTAGCTTATGCTGCTTTCCTAGGGGCTCCAACTCCTAGGTTGGGTCGCACTGAGATAATTTCCCATTCTGTTTTGCGGCACAGGGTCCATTTCCAAGGATGAGTTCGGACCTCAGTCTCTCAGAGGACGTCGCGGACGGCTCAGAGGACCAGCTCGAGGCGACTTTGGAGAAGGTCCGCGCTGCCGTGTACCAGCCTGTCGCGCGGAAGACTCGCCAGGACGTCCCTGGCAATGTGCCAGGCTTCAGCACCCACGTCGGGGTGATCTACAGCGTTTCCTGCAGCGGCAAGGCCATAACCAATTCGAAGACGCGCTGCGCTCCCTACCGCGACGCCCACTACAAGCGGCTCATGCACATTGCCCTGAAGGTCCGAGGCAAAGCTTGCGGTGCGGACTACAAGGGCATCAACCCTGCGGACTACATCATCCTGTTCAACGGCAACAAGGACGGTCTTGATAACACCATTGCGTCAGCCTTCAGATGCGAGGACGGGACCAGCATGCCGAGGAACAAGATCTCCAAGATGCTGCTCTTTGACGAGGAGACTGTCACAGCGCGGGTGGACCGCGTCAGGGGCACCATCAACCAGACCGAGACCTTCAACATCGTGGCTGCGGGCCCCGTGGCGCTCGCAGTCAAGAAGAAGCTCCACTTCCCGGGGACTGCGCGCGGCATGATTCTCGGCCCAGTCGCGCTGCCGAAGTACGACGACGCGGGCATCTTCAAGCTGACCCAGGCAGAGAAGAATACCTTGTACGACAAGCACCGTACTGCAGTGGGTGGCCCGACCAATGATTGGCCCGACCCCGTGCCTGGCCAGGACGAGTGGATTCCGGTGTTCTACAAGTCCATCCCCCAGGACGCCGCCGAGGAGGTCGCGCATTGCCTGGACTTGATCTCCATGGTGGACCTCACGCCCAACCAGGGCGTCTTCGCCACGGTTGCGATACTGCTGAAGCTCTTGAGGGTGGGAGTGACCTTCAACAAGTTCCACGCGGATCAGATGAAAGACTTCTTGCTCGCAGAGATCGTTCGGCAGTTCTTGGATGAAAAGAGTTCCTTGTTCAGTCCTTTGCTGTCCGAGGCGGTGGCAAATTGCGCCAAAGACACGACGCCGCAGGACCCTGGGAAACAGGGCCCCAAGAGGCGCAATAAGAGTCAGCAGCCAAAGCAGCCTAAGGCTGCGCCGAAAGTGAGTCAAGAGGGCGCCGGTGATAAGGAGGCGCTGCTTGCCAAGATCAAGGCCCTCACAGGCAGCGGCCCGAGCGGGAACAAGGGCGCCGCCGTCGAGAAGGGCAAGGGCACGGATGAGCCGGAGGCAAGGGAACCCGCCGATGAGGATGATGATCCAAGCCAGCACGACCGTGAGGAGGATGATGAGGACGAGCGATCTTCTTAGAACCTCCGAGGGTGACTGCGTGCTCTTTTCTTTACGCACGCTTCTGGTCATCCAGCGGGCCTCGCAGCGGCACGGCCCGCCTCGGATGCTGCTTCTGGGGCATGGATATCACATGCGTTGGCCATGATTTACGCTGCTAGCATTGCCAGGCAGGGTTGCCAACAATGTGCCTCACGTTCTTCGGTGGTCGGGGATCAGACTGGGAAGCGCTGGACGTGCAGCATGCGATACGCCATTTGGCGATAGCCACTGACAAAAAAAGAGCATCGTCCCCAACCCCATCACCATCATCAGCATCGCAGCCATGCCAATGTCCACAATCACCCATTGGTGATTATTAACATCGTGATCAACACCAACCATATCCCCCCCCCATCACGACTATCCATCATCATGGTTACCATCGTGGTCATGATCATCACCGTCTCGTCGATCATATTCGTCCTTACTCTGTGCCGTCCATCAGCACCACCATCATCATTGTTATCATCACCACCGCACCATCCATAGCCAGTTTTGGCTCAAACTCACTTGCCATACAATATCTTACGCAGTGGCAAGGCATTCGCTCACCATGGAGAGCAGAGCTGTTCGACGGCTCCTGGAGAGGGCGGCCATGCTGAGATCCCAACGCCTAGCTCGCAATGGGTTGCCTGCTGAGACCACGGGGAATGCGACGCCAGCGAAGAAGCCAGCTTCTGCACCCAGAGCCGCAGTGATGAGCAAACCTTCGGCCGCAGCCAAGTCGAAGAGGAGGAGTTCGGAGCCTAAGCAAGTGCATAGACATGTTACCAAGAGCTACGTCAAGGCGCGTGGCAAAGACATCATCCGCCTGGGCGGCGACTGCGATGGCCTCTGCTCTCACGCGGTGGCGCTGGAGATGATCATCGGCAAGGACAAGATCAGCCACGAATTCGCCAGAGAGATTGACCAACAAACCCGCGCCGTCTTGCAGGCCAATCACGGCATCAAGAAGGTCTACCACTCATGCAAGACGGCTGATCGCACAGTCAGTCAGGTCCCCAAGGTGGACGTATATGCCGCGGGGCCCCCATGTCAGCCCTTCGCGATGGGTGGCAACTAGAGCGGGGAGGGTGACAGCCGGGGCCAGATCATCTTGGACTGCGCCGACTACATCACCACTCAGAAGCCCGCCTGCTTCGTGATCGAAGAAGCGCCCACTCTCATGGGCAAGCACAGGAATACCCTGAACAAGTTCGTGGACCGCATCCGGCAGGGGGGCCATCTCCAAGAATGGCGAGTCCCTTTACGAGGTGGAATATCGCAACCCGACCACGAGGGCTCGGACCTACATCGTGGGATGGTTGCGCAGCCGATCGAAGGGCCAATCGTTTGAATGGCCCACCTCTTTACCACTGAAGCGCGTGGCGGACTTCATCGACCCGACGCTGCCAGCCAACATCCCTACCGACATGACCTGCCTGAACAACCTCGCCCGCCTGCTTGGCGTTGTCAAGGATGCGGGCTACGACCTTGCGAATGACGACATCATCTTGGACGTGTACCAGTCCGAGAAGTTCGGCGACAATTGGCAAGTCGGCAAGTTCCCGACTCTGACTAGGACCAGGGCAGGCGCCGGCGTCTACTACCTGACCCGCCACTCCCGCATGATGGACACGACCGAGATGTTGGCTATCCAGGGCCCCCCTAAAGGCCGCCTGAACTGGCAAAGTCTGCTCACGGAGAAGGGCCGCAAGGTGACGGATCGCCAGTTCAACCTAATGATCGGCAACACGATGAGTGTGCTTGTAGTCGGCCGTATGATGCTCAAACTCCTCATCCTCGTCGGCAAGCTCGACAAGAGCACGCCCGACCCGTGGTGCGACGCAGTGTAGTCATACGCTGGTGCGACACAGTGTAATTACATGCATCGGGCTGGGCACGCCCGCGTTGCGATGGAGAAGTGAACCATCGTCGTTATCACCTATTCTTGACGCTTCGCGTATCCCCACCTGGACCAAGTCTTGATGCTTCGCGTATCCCCACCTGGACGCTTTGCGTGCCCCCGACCTGCCTGGGGGATCCCCTTGAGGCCTCCTGGGGGTCTCTTGGGAGCCTCTTGGAGGCCTTCTGGGGCCGTCTTGGCGCCTCTTGGGGCCATATTGGGACGCTCTGGGGAACTTTCGAGGCGCTCTTGGGGCCCTCTCGGGGCGCCCTTGGGGGCCTCTTGGGAGCCTTTTTCGAGGCCTCCTAGGGCCGTCTTGGCGCCGGGGAAAGGGCAGAGTGAGGGTATACACCAATAAGGAGTAGGAATGAGGCTAGCCAGCTCGAGGGAGTCATCGGGCCTCGCCCATTCCCACCCGCCCTCCCACAATATAAGAAACAATGCTGGCACAACTGGGGGCCGACATCACATCGGCCAACTGGTTTGGCACACGGCGAGTTGGTTTGGAAACTAATGTGAACCCTTAGCGGTGTCCGATTGGATTTTGAAGTTAACATCCGTTTTCCGCTGCCTCGCCGCGCTCGCCGAGGCTCGAGCGCGACGATGGCGCTAGCGGGGTGGCCCGCCGTCTGCTTCCCCCCCGCGCCCCCTGCCTGCCGCACCCCGAGTACCCCTTCCCCACGTGGGGGGGGGGGCGTCGTCCCCCCGCAGGCGCCCATGCGCCCGCGGGGGGCGTGGCCTGGGCTGTCGGTGGAGTTGCCGGGGGAATGGGGCATGGATCGCCCTCCTTTCTGGTACTTCCCCGCGCGTGCGCGCGGGTACCCAGTGGACCCGTCGCACGCGTGGGCGCCGTGGGATGGCACGACTTTCGCGCCGTGGACGCGCGCCCAATGGCCGCCGCCGCTCCTGGTGCTGCTGTACGTGGAAGACGGGTGCCCCCGACGATCAAATTAAAAAGGGGCACCCTCGCTCGGAACCCGTGCTCTCGCCTCGGCGCCAGCCACATGTCAATCGCAACCCCGACCCCCGCATGTACTTGCAGTACCAGTGGTGGGTCCACGACGAGGACGACCTGGGGTTGGTGCGCGTCTCGCTATGACGGAGGGGCGGGGGTAGATAACAGTAGAGGAGGAGGAGGAGGAGGAAGAAAAGGAGGAGGAGGAGGGGGAGGAGAAGGAGGAGGAGGCGGAGGAGGAGGAGGAAGGAAGATGGAGGCAATGAGGGAGGATGGATGAAATGGGTCAAATTGCGGGCGAGATCTATTCACTCATATACTTTAAGTTTTGGATTTATTGTACAATTGTACTTACAAAATTATTTGTATGCTTCACACGTGTATACTTACAGGTCTGCTTCTAGACGTATACATCGACTTATGTACTTATTATAATCAAATTTGCATGTGTATGATTATATACTTACGTATATTCACGCATATACTTATATAATTATAGCTGTCATCCATCCCAAATACTTATAGACAAGCCCTCCCTGTCGCGTCGTTAGGGCGGGATGAGCGTTTCGCTTGAGATTTCTGTGCGATTTCAAAGCTTGAAACTTCCAACAATTGCACGGATGGAGTGCAGGTCGTTTCAACAAGGGGGCCATGACATCTCCAATAGCTACACGGATGGAGGGGCGTCGTCTTCAAATGGTGGTATCGTCTTGGCGCGGCGCACATTAGTCTTACAAGTTTCCAATATTTGCAGGGATACAGGTTTATGTTTTTCATAAGCCAAATACTCCGTCGTGAATTTTGTTTGGTCAGTGGTACAAGTGGCCGCGTGGCCAATGTTCTCGTGTCGCGTGGCAAATGTTCTCGTGTACACGGTGGAATGGCCACGATCAGAAAGAAACCAAGAACAAAAAAAACAGCCTATGCACGGGCCAGGCGAGGACCGTGCCCAGGATATCATAAACGATGTCATCGCCCAGCGGGTTCTGGGCCCAACGAGCACTTCCCGTGGAGAAAAGTCATTGGCACATTAACGCCGGCGGAGAGGACGGTTGCTCGGGACGCGATCAAGATCGATCCCGATCAGGAGGCGGCGGTCACACAGGGCATGGAAGCTGGAGGATCCGCCAGAGGCGCCATGGGGCATCTCGTTGCACTCATTGCTACTTACCCCGATAACGAAGAGTCGAAAGCATTGAAGCGCCAGGCAGCGTTGAAACACCTGCCGCGCACTTCGTGGAAACAGTTGTGCCTGCCTGACCAGGGCGGCGGGCCAGACAGATTCCGCTGCTCACAGCACGTGCGGGCACTCGCCCGTTCGCTTCTGTTTCTGCGCACTGCGATTGAGGCGCGGTGGATTGTGTTGCCCCGTGGCCAGCAGGCCACGTCGAAGCCAGAGTGCTTGCACAAGGACCTGATGCCTCCCCTGTATAACACAACTAAATGTTTCAAACACAGAACTTTCAAGGCTTCGGCGTCCGTCCCGGAAGACGCTGAAATGCTCTCCTCCAGAATTCCGGCTTGGACCTGGTTCTCGGCCAATTTGCATGAACCTTTCGGCCGCGCCCTCGCTGCTGACGCGCGCGAGGGCGCCGCCGGCTGACAACGCCGGAGAGAGGCCCGCCAAGCAGCAGCGCGCGGAAACAGCCAAGCAAGTGCACTGGGGCCCTGCGCCGAGACAGGACAATCGCTGGTGCCCGCTCTTTGGCATGGAGCCCCTCCGGCGGCGGCCCTCGTCGCGGCCCCGGCCGCGCCCCCCGCCGGCGGTAGGAAGCAGGTCGCCGAGAGGTCGGAGCGGGGGCCGGCAGCGCGGGCCCCTGGGAAGTCCGCGCAGTCCTGCCAGCAGTGGCTAGGCGACAAGAAAAAGGAGGGCGGCGAGGCGGCAGTTTTCCGGCCAGAGGGCCAGATTTCCCAAAATTGCCAAGGCCGCGGCGCGGCGAAGCACTCTTTTGCGGACCGCCGCGCGGCCGGCCACGCGCGCGCGCTGCCGCGCCCCGGGTGCTTGGCGGCGCACCGGCTGGATGATGCACATCATTGGCTCCAAGAGTGCAGATTTCAGGATTGAGCGGCGCGCCAGCGCGTCGCGGCACGGGCGTCGCGGCACGGCGACGCGCGATAGAGGAACGATGATACGGGGCAGGAAAAAGAGAGTCGGGCAATCGGGGCGGGGAAATGCATCGCGCCTCGCCCCGCGCGGCCTCCGGCGCGGCGCCGCCTGCCTATGCGCGGCCCCAGTGCATCCATAAATAAGGCGTTCCCCCGCTCGTCGGGCCCGGCTCTGCGCGCGCCCCGACTGTCGATCGCAGCTCCTCGCCGCGCCCCGCGCGCGGGCTCGCCCGGCGGAAAGGGGGCGGCAGCGGGGCCGGCGACGGCGACGATGCGGGCGACGGCGGCGACGACGACGTCCTCCCCGCCCCTTCCCCCTAATTACCCCCCCCGCCCTCCACTTTCGCCCGCCCTCCCCAGCCCGCCGCGGACGGCCGGCCCGCGCCGCCCCGGCGGCGCCCTGCCCGAGGTCGGCCCAGGCAGGGGGGAGCGGGGGCCGTCGAAGGCAGGGAGGGGAAAAAACACACAGACACAATTAATCGTCGATTCCCCAGAAAATATGAGAAAATATTGGAAGTGGGGGGGAAGACAAAAACCCAGAAAATATAGGAAAGTATGGGGGATCCTTTTATTTGTGTGTATTTATTTGTGTGTCTCAGTTTCCCTTCACGAAGGCAGGGAGGGGGAGGAGGTGGCTAAAAACATCAGCGCGCCGCCGAACGCGGGGCGTTGCCTCTTGCACGCGAGGGTCCAACGCCGCAGGATGGCTGGGAAAATCAGCACGAAAAGCCGCAGGGCCATCAGAAGGCTCTATGCCGCAGCCTGGGGGGGCGCACCTCCCTCCCCGCGACTCCTCTCGCCCATCTGTTCCCCGCCCATCGCCCCCCCCCCCCCTCCCCTCCGCCCGCCCTGGCTGGCCGGCCCGTCCTGCTCCGGCGGAACCCTTTCGGGGGGCGGCCCAGGCGGCGAGGGGGAGAGGGGGGCGAGGAAGGGATGAGCTCAGGAGATCTGCGGCGGCATCCAAAGATTTGATGCCGCAACTCGGGGGGCGCAGCTCCCCCTCTCCGCGTTGTCCTCCCGCCCGCCTGGTCCCCCCCGCCTCTCGCCCGCCCCTCTTTCTTCTCCGCCGGCCGGCCCGCTTCCCGCGGGCGGCCTGGGCGGCGGGGAGTAGAGCCTCTACTCCCCGCGGCCTGGGCGGCGGGGAGTAGAGCCCCGATTCCTCCACCTCCACCCCTCTGAGGGGTGGAGGTGGAGGAATCGGGGCGGGGCTGCGGGGGGGAGTGAATGAACGACGAAGAAAAAAGAGCATGCCCGGAAGCGTCAAGAGCGCGGCTTGCGGGCGGCCGCGGCCCGCCCCGAGGAGCCCCGGGGGGCCAAAGACGGCAGTGCGAAGAATCCGCGCGCTGCATGCAGCGACCGGCGGGGCACGTCTGCCCCCCCCCCCCCCTCTGGCGTTTTTTTCCTGCGCGCCCCCCCGCGCCCAGCAGGGGGCAGTGCCGCCCGTAGCCATGTCGGCGCAGATGTTCGCGGACCTGCCCCAGCTGCTACAATCGGGCTGGGCGAAAGGGGGGGATTGGGAAAGGGGGGGGTACGAAATTTGCTGCATGCAGCTGGTTTCGGCCCCGCCGAGGGGCCCATTCCTCGATACATGGGCGCCTCCGACGCCGGGAGGCGCCGGGAAAATCAGCTACGTGAGCTGATTCTCAAACCCCCCCTTTACTATCCCCCCCTTTCGCCCGACCCGATACAATGGGGCCTGCCGCGAAATGCGGAACCGGGTTGGGGCCCACTCTAGACCTCCCGATCCCGCAGCGGGGGTCGGCGGCGGAGCCCGCAGGGCTCGAGGAAAGAGCGAGCCAGCTTTTCCAGTCCTACCTGCCAGAACCAATATGTCTCAAGCCGGCCTGGGCCAAGCCGGCGGCAATAAGAGCGAGAGTAGAGAG